CCCGTCAACAGACGAAACATACCTTCATTCATCGCTGTCTCCTTGTCCTCTTCCTCCACCACCCCCGGCGCTCTCCATATCCACGACATCCTCGCCTTCGCCACATTCCCAGCGTCTTTCGCAGCTACCATTGCGGCCAGCCCCTTCTGCATCAACAGCTTCTTGTGCTCTGGGTCTTGAAACAATGCCCGAGGCATGCCCCACATGTCCTCTGGCAGTAACGGGCGCAGCGCTACCTCCCAGCGCGTCTCCTTCAGCTGCTTCCCCAGCCCCACCAGCGCCCTCCGAGCCGCTTGGTAGCGCTCCTCCATTCGTCGAACCTTTTCCTCGACAACCTTGATCTTGGTCTGACACCGAGTGTTGGTCTTCACCCCGCGTGCAAACTGGTCCTTGTACTTGTACAAGTGTGTTCGCAAGAGCAGCTGGTCGCGAAGGTCCTCCAACGCCTCATGTGCTTGCGCCTCACAAAGTCGGAACTCGTACTCGTATAGCTCGCGATCACAGTCCACCCGCCCCTTGATATCAGACGGCAGCCACAGCGCCATATGGTGCACCTGCATCCCTGGCTGGGCCTGCGTCGCGGAGATCCTCGTTGTGTAGCAGGACGACGTGGGGAATGAAGCTGACTTTGCACCTCCATCCATGTGAGCAATTTCCTCCGCAGTTTGTTGGTTCGCTCAGTCATGTTCGTCCGCTGCTCGGACAAAGGGTGATTGCCCACTTGCGCCATATCAAAAGCCAGGACCCGCCTAGTATCCATGTCAGCAGGCATCCGTATCGACATCATAGCCCGACTTACTATAACTCTTCCAGCTGCAGCCCCATCCCGATCATCTCAGTTGCGTGCATCTCGTCCGACACGGTGATGCCTTCCAGCTCATCCTCGTCCATCTCTCGCTGCACCTCCTCCACCATCTCCCGCCGGACATCGAGCACCGTCTTGTGCCTCACCCTCGACGCAAAGGGGTTAGGCTGGCTCGCATCCTCCTCCCACGCCTTGACCTCCGCCCTCCACCTCTCCAATGCCGAGGCCGCGCCCATATCTCACAGCGACATCTCCAACTCCTCCAGCTCAACGCTCATGCTGATCATCTCGGGCACGCACTCCCGTATCTTTTGCAGCGCCCATTTTCCTATCACAAATGTAAGCCTCACATTGTTCGCTATCAGTCAAGCGCCGCTCACCAAAGCCAATGATCTTCTTGTGATTCCTATGATTGAAGGCATCGTTGATGGTATCCCGTCGCATTCCCGGACCCATCCCGCGGTGCTTGTTGCCAGTGGATTAAGGTCAGACCACCCGTGTTCCGGCGCCTCTCCATCCGTCATCCTGACATATCGTGTGAGATGGAACGAGAAGAGTATGTTGCACGCTTCGATATGAGTGGGAAGGTGGAATTTCAGGATGAGGAAGACACAGTACTTCTGCCCCTTCCGGAAGCGGATCTCCTGGTCGAAGGTCTTCATGCGCTCCCATATGTTCTTGTGCCATTGGCAAGCGATGTCATACAATACATACAGTTCCGAGACCTCACTGCCAGCCAGCGACATGAAGAAAATGTAATCCATATTGATATAGCTGTAAAAGCGGTCAGCAAAACGTTTAAGATTATCCACAGGATATACGTACCGCTCCCCCAGCTGCAAACCCCCCACCGTGTTCAGGCGTTTCATGTTATGGTGGGCACAATCGACCGTAGCAATCCCTGAAGACGCCGTCCCTCGAGATTCTCGGTCTGGCTTGTCCACGGCGTCGTGGGCGATGCAGGTGCTGCGCTGTTTCCTTCGTCAGCCTCCGACGCCCGAGTCAAGCTTCAACATGCGCACCTCCTGCTTCTGTCCCCAATGCTTCGCCAGATAGGTGTAGTATGGAGCGATTGCCCCATAAAAACGACCATCCGTCGCAGAGAGACGGATCTTTCTCCTCACTGGAGACCTTCTTCCTCCTCATCCGGAAGTTAGCATCCAGCGCCAGGAATAGCGCGTAAAGAAAGCTATAAACAATGAGCCTGCACCCATTGGTCTCGACAGCGTCACTTACTGCTTCTCCTTAGGTGCCTCCTTCCAGTCCACGGGCAAATTCTTGCCAGGTTGAGGACATGCTGGACAGAGCAGCGCGCACTCGCCCGGCTTCTTACCCTCCACGCCGGATGGGTCATGACTGTGGCTCGCCTGTTTGAGCATTTGAATATGTCTCCATTCACGCCCCATACCCAGGAACTCGTCATATCGATCCTGTCAACCAATCAGCACCAATCTACCAACCAAAAAAACGACCTACCCTGACCGGCTGTGTGCCCGTGTTGTCCGTCTCGCGTACAATGCTATTGTAGAATTCGGACGCCGAGCACTTCGATTCCAATACCATGAGATGGAAGCGGCGGAGGACTCGAAAAGTCGCCGCTGTTCGTGGAGCCTTCCATGTAGCGGGATACCAGCAGGCACGGAGTAGCTGAATATTGTGCGCCTGGGCTGTGTCGCAGTTGCAGAAATCGAGTGCTACCTTGTGGATAGCATGTGTGTCAATCACCACAAAGTCATCGTTGAGCCGGTTGGGGCAAAGCGCACCGGCCCCGTCGCCCTTTCCCCCATTTCCCGTGCCCCAGCTGTATTCACAAACCCAGGCTCTTTAGCGTTGTCCTCATGAACATCCCGCCCACCCAAACCTAACGATGGTCAGTCCTGTGTCACCTCCAAGAACAGATTCCTGGATACCTCGACCCGATGCAGCAGCGAGTCGCGATGGGCGACGACAATGCAGGCTTTGCAGTACAAATCGTCGGTGAAGCAATGCTGACAGTGGTATGTCGCGCCAGCAACGCCGCACAGGATACAGTCGTCCTCGTTCTGGTAGTCGCCCCTGCCCTCCAGCAGTATCACCTCGTCCAGGTAAACTTGTGGCCTTCCCTTTGGCGACCCACATAGTCAGGGGCCTGTCCTGGAAAGGCGTCAGTGAAGATTGAGTAGGCGCCCAGCTTCACATACGGAATTCCTCGCTACCCGTGCCTCCTTCGGCACCTGCTCGTCGGGATCGTGAATTTGCCCCACCGTGTCATAGACTGGGACTGCATCGTCCCCCTGCTCCAGCGAGCCTCCGTCTGCCTAATCGCCAAAACCATCGAAGTCGAAGCGCTCGACGTACGGGATGTCAGGCTTGAGGGGGGCAGGTTTAATGGGCTTTGTCGGGGACGGAGGCGCGGGGAGCACTCCATATTCATGTCGCGTCCAACCATCTGTGCCGTGGTGAATGTGCTGCACGGGAACATAATTGTTGTGCGTTGTGCTCGTGGCTGGATGCACATCCGGCACATTGTCCCCCTCGTTGTCAGTGTTGGGCAAGAGGGTGCTAGTCACCTTCTTCCTCTTCGCCATTGTGGGTGGGGTGTGTGCAATAATCAGTTGACCCTGAAACTCAAAATCAGCCAAAAAAGATCGCGATACATTGCGCAACTCCTATCCGCACCTCATTTCATCCACCGCCACTCATGTCTACCTCTGCCACCAAGCGCGAATCTGCCCCCGTTCTCGCCCACAAAAACGCCTGCCACACAGAAGAGGCCTGCTGTGCGGACCCCAGCTTCGCCATGGACTCCAAACACACAGTCCATCTGCACCGTGGCAAACAAAACAGGTTCCCCCTGACGTTCGATACCCTTGTGTGAGACATCATTCCTTCCCCTACCGCAGGACGTTACTCACCACAAAAAAAAAAGCAACCTGACCATCACATACGATGTCGCCTGCCAGATGTGGTACTGTCACGGACAATTCGTTGAGCGCGCTTGCAGCGGCCGTTCTTGATGAGGCTGTCCAGAGCGAGCAGCGAGAGGAAATCGAGTCAAAGAGATAGTAGATTCTGGTACATAGTCGACCGAAATATGAACGGGAAAAGAACGCGTCCAAGACGGGCGGCGCGCCCAGCGCGCCCAGCGACCAGCGAGCCAAGACCAAACGAGCGAGCACATGCTGTCATCCATCATTCACAAACAACCATCAACCAGCCCCTATCGTGCGTTCCCGAATCTCCGCCACTGCTGCCTTTCGAGCCAACTCCTGTAGTCTTCTTCGCCTCAAATAAGATACCCCATTCGCGCCGTCAATCGCTTCCCCGGTCTCTTCTCCCTCAAATGCACTCTGCTCGGTTGACACGCTATCTTTATCTGTGATTTCGTCTCAATCAGATCAGGTCTCGTGCATGTTTGTTTCAGAGACACACCGTGATTTGACTCCACATGAACCCCCGCCTTCATCCGCTTCCGCTGGCGTTCACCTCCCAACTTTTCAATCCCGTCAACCTCGTCTCGAATTCTTTTGGAGGGGTGATCGATGTTCGTGCGCTGGCGCTTGTGCTGTTCAGCCCCAGCCTCGTCAGCATCTGAATTGCACCGGCGCTTTGGGTGGTTGGTGGGCGTGGTATTCTGCATGTGCAAAGATACCGGTCCATCAGATTTTCCGGACTACCAAGCGAATAAATTGTTATTTAACAATTGGACAGTTTCACAACGTCACAATAATAGCCGCAACCGGCGCTTGTCCTCCGAAATCAACCACAGCTCCTCCATGGCGCAGCATCTGAAAATCTGGTACTTCTTTAATTCTTGAAACCCTCGACCGTGACTGGCACGCTTGTGGTGGTGTTCATAAAAGGTGATTTTGCGGCGAATGTCATATTCTGCCCTCGCCGCATCCACCAGTTTTCTTGCATGATTTCTGAAACTCTGTCAATTTAGTCAATTTCGCCATGAAGCAGACACTCACCAGTGGTTGCAGAATTCATTTTGTTTTGGTGTGTAGAACAGTCTATTCTTAAATATGTTCCGACAGCCGACAGCTCCCGAGAGCCGGGCACCGCCACATAAATCCTATCAGTGATCCAATCTGCCCGCAAACCCTCGTCCGCAGCTGGCCCATCTGCAATGTAAAAGTTTGCTACATGTTCTTCCATGCAGATCTTGAACCTGAGCATTGAACCTGAGCAACGGAAGAGTGGTGAAAAAGAAAGCCCCAGGCGAGAATCGAACTCGCTCCTTCAGAAGAATGCAAAATAATAGTCGCAATTTCATCTGACGCTCAACCACTGAGTTACTAAGGCACTTCTTCATTCTGAAGATTTGGTATTTGAGGGTGTCGGGCATTGTTCCAAACAGCTCAAAAAGATCTTGGGAAAGTCACATCGCCTTGGACCGGAATTGAACCAGTGAAAACCTGCTTATGTGATGTTGTTGTTCTCAACAAAATGCACAAAATCAGGCGCTCTGACCAACTGAGCCACCAGGGTGTTCCCGTCTTGAACACGACCTTCAAGCACAGCATATCAATTTGATGGCAGTTCCTGTCACGGCTTGCTCACACTTACCCCTGACAGCACTGCACCCAAGACCGCCACTGCCACATGCATTCCTATCAATGATCCCATCCTGCTTCCATCTCTCGAATTCATCCGGGCGCCGTGCGCACTGGCGCTGCACCGCCGGTACTTCTGCTCTGTTGCGTCCATTTCAATCCCACCTTGCGACATGTTCCATTCCGACTCCAGCACTGGTATCTCACCCGCTAATGTCTCAATTCATCCGCCCCTTCTTGAGGAAATCTGCGCCGAGATCCTATACCATGGCAGACGCTCCACCGCCGGCACCTATGCATTGTGTTCGCGAAACAGCGCCCTAGTCGCCCGCAACCATCTCTGCCGCGACGTATACATCGGATTCCGCAGTGCTCAACTTTTTTTTCATACTTTGAAGGAGGATTCCAAGGACGAGTTGGGGAAAATGGTGCGTTTAAAAAAATGTCCTCATTGATCGTTCATTGTCGCTCACATACACCCAGGTCCGCACGCTCAACCTGCCCCCCGGCAAAGAGAAAATGACATTCACTCGGGTGCTGACTTCGCTGCGGCACTCAGCCGTATGGTTCACCTCCGCATGTTGCACGTACGATGCTGCATCGACACCCGCGAGCTTGTGGATTCCTTCGTCGGCCAGCTTGAAATGTTCACCTACTCCTTTCCCGTGTGCGATGCAGTTTACGACTTTTTGACGTCCCAAGCGTCGCTCACCATTCTCTCCTTGCACGACACGTTTGGTCATAACTGCCCCCCACACTTCCTACCCAAACTTCGCAGACTTGAGGCCTGACCACACGATGTCGCTCGGCTCCTCCTGTCTCGGCCCATTAAACATGTCAGAATCCGCTACTGGCCAGGCAACAAATCTACCCAGCCGCGCTTCGCACTCAGTGTATTCCTCTGCGCCACGTGTTCGACTTGGGCACTCGAAGCCATGGCGTGCCAGCTCAACGACTCCGTTCTCGACCTCGACCATTACTTCCCCAAGCTTGAACACCTGTTCATTCTTCAGGACAATACCTGGGGCAAACACAACACATCTGTGAGTCTTGTTGCTCCACCCCCCCTCCCCTCCCCCCTTTGAGTTTCATACATGTATGTTTCCAGCCCGACTTTGCCCGTCGCATGGATGCGCTTGCGAAACAGCTCCACCACCTCAACCTTCTCCAACGTGTCACCATTATCACCACCATCAGCAAGCGCGCTGCGCACACCCTTTGCCAAGCTTTTCGCCTGTACTGCGGCGCCCCTCGATTTCGCACATTAATCGTCCACACACAACGTATTTGTCTCTTTTGGGCAGATTACACTAACACCCAGCATATTGCAGTAGAGACAGATGTCGCGGAGTGTAAGGGACATCATTCCCCGCACTGGTAATTACCGTCCAAAATGTAATATATTTACTTCATCATTTGAATCGCACATTTATACACATCACTTGCTTTCATTCACAAATCACTACTACCAAACTGATCAACCTGTGCCCGAAATTCCCTGCTCTGCGAGCCACGCGCGTTGCAGGCCGCCATGGCTAATTGCGCGCACCTCTCGCTGGATGTGCTCGTTGATAGCCCAGATCCTCTCTTTCGCGCGCTCGTGTTCTGCTACACCGTAGGTCTTTCTCTGCCCCTTCGCAATATTGTGAGCTTCCATCATCAACAGGGGCTGTACCTCCGCTACGACATCGGTGTGCTCGTCCCTTGTCCTCTTCGAGACCCCCTTGTTGGCGGCCTTCTTCTCCAATCCCGCCAGCCGCAACTCCACCAGCCGATCCCCTTGCGCCTTCTTTTCCTCCGCGGTTACCAACTCCACCGGTTTTGCCCCTTCGGCTGCACGCAACGCCGCCACAAGCACCTCATTGCGGGCCAGCCATTCGCGTGCTGCAGCGCTGATGGGTCCGAGAGGTCCGATCGATAAAACCTCTGTAAAGCTCTTCAATCCCCATACAAATTCGACTTCAATCGACCTACCTCGCTTGAGTGCGAGCTCCTCCGTGTCAAACGCTCCTGTCTCCGCAGTACCTGAGTGGTGGTGTGCAGGATTTTCTTCAGTCATTGGGGGTGCAAAAGGAGGGGCACAAATTGAAATTGATATACCACAGTGCGCTATTTGTTTCCAATATCTCCAATATCAGGGCCATCTTTTTATCTATTCGGGGCAGTAAGTATTTAAGCATTTAACATTCTTCATCAGATCAGTCAATCCCATCCAAGTTCGGCTCCTTGCCGACATCATCCTTGATATCCTCATGAATTTTTGCCTGCCACTGCCCTGTATTGTGATCGTCGAGAACATCGCGTCAGACCCTGCCAGCCAGCCCCACCCATGCACGTTCTTGGGTCTCACCATCCACTCCTAGCCCGGTGGGATACATGTGGGCCGTGACTGGCTTCGCCTGAAGCCGGAATTGAGCGTCGATAGCGAGGCTGCCGACTTCCTTAGCACCATCAACGGTGAGTTGTCATGGAGCTCACTAGACCGCGCTGCGATTGATGTCAGCCTTCTCATGCGACAGGGTGGCGCTTGCGGCATGCGGTTCGCTCATGATGGCGAGGATCTAGTTTGTAATTTCGATGAGATCGCCTCCTTTATACATATCTCGAGCGCTATTCAAATTGATATTCTGTTCAGTCATAGTGACTACAAATAATATCTGTCTGTGTGTTACAAATGACTACGGCGTCTGCCTCCACCATGTAAATCAAGGAGCCATCTCCATCATCCGCAGCGAGGTAAATCTGGTCACTAGAATTGCATGAGCAATAATTGGGGAAGCGGGCGAACGATCATACCCCAGTTGCACGTAGGAAAAACCCACAGGCGCAGGTCCCACCTCCTGCCTCTCGGTGGCTCGCTTGGCCGCGCTGAACTCAACTATCTGAGTGGCAACCTGGCCCATTGAAGCCCGCATGTGGGGCCAGGGAGCCAGCCACTCCACACGCGCTTGTCGCTTCGCCGCGAGCCTCTCGTCATCCAGCCGAGCCATCGCGGCAGAGATTAAGCAAAGGGCATTCATTCGCCGAATGTCAAAGCTGGATATGTCATCCAACGGGTCCTTGCCGTCAGCCGCATATTTCGCCAGCATTTCCTCGGCCAGGGCGACCGTTTCATCGTCATCGTAGTACGCGTTTTTGTTCGTGGAATCCCTGTGGACCCAATCCAACGCAGGGGTGAATGGATCAGTGTTCAGGTCAAGAGCCATTGATTGGCAAAAATGTTCCACAAAAGATAATGCAAACAATCTCATCTAATTTAGCGCTACTTTTTGTCCAAATGTGGCCGCGTGGTCGGCCGCAAGATCACTGACTTTTGAAAACAAACCGAGGCCCCACCTCGCCCGTTCACCCGGAGCCCCGTCCAGTGTCGCCTTTAACTGTCGTCCATCTTTCTGCGCCAGCAACTGCTTTGCAGTCTTGAACCCGTATTTCACCAAACGAAAAAGCCCGCCCGCTGCGTACTGGGTGATGGAACAGCGAGTTTCGCCTGGACCGAGGGACGTGTTTCCATGGTCAATCACGGTGGACGGAATAAGAACGGATGCGGTGGGGGGAAACTCGACCACGAGTTTAATCTGCTTCAGGTAAAGGAGGGCGCTTTTTTTTGGGTCGAAGTCGCCGTCGTTCGTGATGCCACACCAGCCAAAGGGGTTGTTGCGGTAGTCGAGGTGATCGAATGTGACAGCCTCTGGGCCTAGATTGAATGTGGCCGCAGGGAAGATGGAGTTGGTGAAGTTCAGGGTCAAACCGGGCTGATTTTCGAACAGCGCCTGTAAGTCGGTAACATACTGTTTGAAGATCTTCAGCGCGAAGCTCCGGTAGGCGCCTAATAAGATGTCAAGTGCCAAAACAAGAGCGGTGGTTGTGCGACGAACTTGATTGAAAGCCGCATATCTGACGGATATATTTATTCTTCAATAATTTTAAGAGTAGTCATCTCTGGTGACGAGGGAGAACAAGATTGCCCGGACGCTTTAGAAGAAAACAGAAACCACACTGAAATTCAGATTTGTGCAAAACATTAATACATTAGGGGACGACCTTTTGCTCTCCGCCGTATGAAACCCCCCCGGTCAACGCGTAGTAGACTCCGCGGCGATGGCGATTGTCCCCAACAGCAAATGCCTTGGTGTGCAACCCTTTGTCCTGTGCTTGCTGCATTGCCTCGGCCGCTTTGGCCACAACTTCGGGCCAGTCCAGATCCTCTAGGGCGCCGACCAGCGCGACAATGATGCGGTCATGGCAATTGACGATGAGTATGGGATTCCTGGCAAATATGTGTGGGTGGGGGTTGGTCAAGATAAAGTAAAATCACGCACTTTCCATCCCAAAGTAAATGCTCATAACCCATTTCGTCCACCAGCTCATGTAACTCCCGAAGACGATTTCTTTTCAGGTTGTCCGCCGCCCTGTGCTTCGAATGTCGCTGGCCTTTCTTGGGGTGATCGCATTTCGGACCCAACCAGTGCCCGCCACCGGAGGATTGCATATCTGCGCCGTCAAAAGTCGTACGGTGAGGTGGACGCATGCGATGGGTGGGTGGACCTCTCGGATGAGCGTTGCGGGTGAAGGGCGATGAAGCCTGTGCCTGGCGTTTTTTCTGGCGACGCTGCTGCTGGTAAAGGGCATTCCGTGCAGTGATGCGCTGTTCACGGGATGGCAACAGCGCCGGCAGATCTGCATCCAGTAAGTCTTCAGATGCTGGGACGGAGGTGGCAGGTGTGTCGGGGCGAGATAAATGGGCAGGACTGAGTGAACGGGCGGCAGTAAGGCGATTAGGCGTGTCAGAGGGGGTAGGACTGGGGGAGCGAGAGCTCAGTGGCGAGGGGGGGGCGGAGTCTACATCCTCCCAATCACTCAGATCATCCTCCTCCTCCGAGACTTCTTGGCGACTATCTGCGTCTTCTTGAGCGGTGGCAAGGAGGTTTTTGAAGG